GGAGGAATGTTAATATGCAAGTCTATATATTATTAGTGTATCTTAATTAGATTGAGCCTAAAGTATTTAAGGACATGGATTGAACTTATCTCGTTTCTGACGAAGGGGCTGTGCCCCGAAACGTATTATGTATTTGTTTGAAGTTTAATAAATTTTGTTTCCAACTTGAAGTTTTATATATATATATATATATATATATATATATATATATATATATATATATATATATATATATATATATATATATATATATATATATATATATATATATGTATACAATATCTTTCTGCTTGCGCTGCATGGGTATGGAAATTATGAAATACACACTCGAGAACATTTTCAATTAACTTAATATCATATTACGGAGTGCATGAACAATAACACAACATATTAACATAACACTTGCAGAACTAGTATGGTTCGATGCTGAATTAATATAAACGAGTATGTTTATGACATTCTTTATATAGTTCGTAATTTTCAGTCTTAAATCCGTCTGACCGCGTAGCTCAGTTGGTAGAGCGTCTATCTAGTAATTCGAAGGTTCAAGATCCGGCCAGCCGCGGCAGGCAATATCTTTCTGCTTGCGCTGGGTATGGAAATTATGAATGTCATAATAATAATGACAAATATCACATATATATAGCCTAACACTAGCTACCACAGCAACACGCATATATATATATATATATATATATATATATATATATATATATATATATATATATATATATCACCATCCACATATAACATTAATATGAAGTAGACGTCGCGCGACAATATTTTTACATATTGTTAACGGAATGAACGCAAAACTAACAAAACTAAATGCTTAATAATTACGAGGTATATCTCAGGTACATGTCAGCTCCTGTCATTTGGAACGATCTGAGACGGCGTCTTAATAATAATAACATTAAATTTAATTAGATACACCATTTTAAAGTAAACACACACTGCGGAGTTGGAGCCTGTTATTCGCACTGGGCTGACCCGGCGACTCGGTGTGGCTCACAAGTGCGTGGCGAGATTCCGCCTCATATATTGTTTTTATACATTGTGTATGTTTCCGGGCTCCCGCTTGAGAGGGGCAATACCCAAACTTCCCGTACTCATAGGAATGTGCTAAGTGGGCCAGCCAGGTAAACCGGGCCGTGTCAGGAAATTTATTGAACATTTTATAATATAGACCAAAACAGACGAGATCCACATTGGTAAAGTTGAAGTAATTTTCAATAACAAAACAGTCTTAACCCACGAAAGTGTTGAATTTGTGTGTGAAGTCAAACCAGAAACCGCTGCTTTGGCTAGAGTTTGGATGAAAGAAAATGAAATTATTCCTGAAAACCAAAGGGTTAAGCTTGAAGAAAATAAACTTAAAATTGACAAAATTATGGAGAGTGATGCTGGGTATTACACATGCAGTGTGACGACTCCTTTTGGAATTCAAAATAAAACAGCATTTTTGACAGTTATACAGTCAGAAGAAGAAGAAGACGATGGTGAGTATATTCATTGTGTAAGGGGGAAAGTTTCAGCTTGGTTGAGATTCAGCCTGGTTAACGGAGCAGAAATTTCAGCCCAGCCTATTATAACGCTAAAATCCTATTTAAGAAAGCGGAATAGCTGTATTTAGGGGACGCTTCGAGCATCCATTCGGTCAGAACGGTCAAGACCACTTCATACATACGATGTAAAATAATCTGACTCCTGTTGGTATTTTTATTACTTTATACAAACCATGCAGTCTTCAATGATGGTATAGACAGGCGGTATAGCAATATATTTGGCACTATATTTGACAATTAAAATCACTTTGAAATGATCCGGCAACCGTCAACGACTAAAACTAGATCTGAAAACCCACAGATATATGTTGTAGTATATACAGTGCGGTGTCTTAGCTGAATCATGCGCATGCGCATGCAAACATCACGTTGGTGGCTTAACCAGGTTCACCACAACCGTGAAGTACATACTAACGCACCGAATATAACTAAGCGATGCCAAAACTTTTGTTTGAGTACAGCAGTTTTACATTACCTTACATTTTCTAAAATCACCATAACATATTAATTTAATTTAATCGCTCATCACTGCACTATATATAGAACAAACCTGCACTAACAAGCAAAGTTTCATGCATAATAAGCGGATCATTTCCATTTTAAATACATCACTGCAATTGCATAGAATAGAAACTTTATTTCACGAGGGAAAACGTATTAACCATAAAAGTTATCTAACATACGGCCCTCAAAAAAGCATGAAGTACAAAAATCAAATCCGGCATACATAATTAAAGACAAAGCTCTTTAATCTTATAATAGAGTCAGAAGAACAAGACGAAGGTGGTGGTAAGTTTTACAGCAGCTATTATGCATAATGCATGCATGAATGTAGATCGAGTGGCAAAACGTGTCCAATTAACCTTCCTCCGCGTAAATATTCAAGTTTTAAAACCTTCCTCAAAATAATGTGAATTATGTCTTTTTCAAATTGCAAAATATATTATAAGTTATGCCATTCAAACTAATCGGCTTATTATTCTGAATATTTTCAATTTTTATTGTTTTCTCAATATAACGTGACTTTTTTCCAGTTTGACTCTATGATAGGTACTGCATGCTGTTTTCGTTTGCAATTATGTAGATCTGGAATAGAACAAACAGCTGGAACCTTTTAGAAAGCGGTTAAATAAATAATACAACAAGTAACATTATCATAGTGTAAAAATATCTATTTAGCCTATCTCCATAATTACCTAAATTATAAATTGCATTATTTTCCTGCAAAGAACATCTAGAATTCTAGAAATCTAGAATTGTCAAAGCCGTAAGTGTATTCAGTCGAGCCGAAGGCGAGATTAATAACACCTATACAGTACAAATTTCGGTAAAAATGTCGAAAAGCTCTCGGCTTTTTACACATTGCACAAAACGCCGTTCGTTCACATTGTTCTTCTTTGTTTTTATTCGTGTTTTTAAAACTGCCACGTACTATATATAAAATTATATAACATCATATTTAATAATTCTGTGGCGTTGCATTTGACGTTGTAACCGTTAAACAAAATCAACAATATATTATATTATTTTCATGGTTAATAGATTATTCTGGAGAAGGCGAAGAATTATATCCATGTGGACGTCCGAGAAAGAAGCTGAGTAAGTGCAATTCAAATTAAATAATAAGTTATTAAAATTAATTAAACTGAAAAATCACGTATTCATTTTGGCAAGAACGCGTAATACTAAATACAAAGGTAGGCTGCACATGCACTTTCATAATTCTGTAATTCCTCAATTAGTTTTTTAACAAAAAATTTCACTTCATCGTCGCATCAAAATTTCCCAGAAACAAGAATGTTAATTAATAAGAAATAGGAAACGAGTCGCGTGCGCTTATATGGTGTGATAATTTTCCGGGGAATGTTGGGGGAATATGAGAAAATACTTGAAATGTAGGCCTATGTACAGCATATATATATATATATATATATATATATATATATATATATATATATATATATATATATATATATATATATGTTGAGTTGTGTAATTGTACACTCCGTAATGCGTTAAGGTGAAAATGTTCTCGAGTGTGTATGATATAATTTCCATACCCAGCGTAAGCAGAAAGATAAAGTCTGCCGCGGCTGGGTCTTGAACCCGCGACCTTCGATTTACTAGATATATACATATATATATATATATATATATATATATATATATATATATATATATATATATATATATATATATATATATATATATATATATATATATATATATATATATATATATATAGTATATATATATATATATATATATATATATATATATATATATATATATATATATATATATATATATATATATATATATATAGATAAAGATAAAATAAACTTGGTTTACTTCATAAGATTTATTCACTACAAACTTGTTTCGTATGACAAGCAATGCTTGCCACACTCATCAGGTGAATTTAAATGTCGCGCTATATATATATATATATATTCAAATTAATTTCACTAGTCGTGCAATATAATCACGAGAGCCTAACGATCTTTTTCTCTATTTTTTACTTTTTTCGTATAGCTTCTGCGTGTGACAGGTCTTACGGCTTTACAGGGTGTAAATCTTTCGCTCCGGCTGTGAATTCTGATGACATCGAAATAATGCAGAAATTGGATAATATTACAATGTCTCCGCCGACTTTAAGAATGAAAGTTCAATGGAAAGTTCCAAAAGCGGGTAAGAGAGTTTATATAATAACTACAGTGAAACACGCAATTTGATTGGTCAACAGCCGTGCAAGATCAGACAATCCTGCACGGGAAATTCTGAACAGAAATTCTTGCGCATAATTTTACAAAATATACTCGCATTGTAAAGTTTCATTGTACTATTACCTTTCGACTTTGAAGTAAGCTTCCAATTATTGAGACGTTGGTTTAGTTGTGTGAATAAATTTCTGATCGATACATTCCTGTTCAAGCAAGTAGCAACGCGTAGCGTTGAAATTCATCAGACCATGGCAAGAACAACATCTCTCGCTAGTCGCTTCAAAGTTCAAACGCTTCGCAATCCTTTAAGTATTCAGGTCGAGAATCTTTTCATAACTACTTTGGCTCTCTGTTTAGCGGGTTTTCCATTTCAAATTTCGTAAATTTTATCGAAAAAATTTCGGTATTTTCGCTGTAGGCCGCTATATTTTCGCGAATTTGCGATCAAATTCTGTTCGCATTTGTTGTTGTTTTCAATAGCGTGGAGTAACGATTCTCCGATTGGTTAATTGACGATTGTTGTGAGAACTGCACATTTCATCAGTTAACCGTCGTTTCACTGTAGTAATTTTATAAAACAATTACCAAATGGTTTTCCCCTCCAGGTTAGCATGATCCATGCACTTGGAATGTTGCTCGATTTTCGGAATGCGTAAAAAATACACTCGCCTGGCAACATCCCGCGTGCATGGATCACGCAATCCTGCACGGAAAACCATTCGGTATTCCTTTACAGAACAGGTATAATACGCAATATTATTTAAGTGAAATGAACGCTCCACATTAATTAATATGCAGTGAAATGAACCAAGTTCGACACAACAAATATCCAAAATAATTCAAAATATTTGGAAACGTTCTATATTGATCTCGTTAAAAGTTTGCCTGCTCATTGCTACGAATCGTATATGGCTATTTCAATTAAGGTTGTCCCCGAGCAAAGCGGAAAAGTCGAATACGAGCGCGAAAGGCTGCCGGGAATCGCTATGAAAATTCATTAATTTTTTAGGGATTCCCAGCAGCCTTTCGCGTTCGTATACGACTTTCCCGCTTGCTCGTGGACAACCTTAATTAAAATAACTGTTGGTCAACCACTTGGGTACAGCGATTTCAAAAACAACACTCTTCAAGTCCTCAAACTCAAGTATAAAAAATGACTAGACTGCTTGGCTCGATATTGATCGATGCAACAGTTGTACAGTGCAATGCAACACAATACTCGCGTGTTTCAAAAAAAGCTTTAAGTGACCCTTCAGTGATCGCCTTTTTGTTGTAAACACCCAAATTTCATTGCATTACATCAGGGGGGTTTCAGAATGCATTGTAATCGGATCGTATGAGAATATTAGAACTGCGTAATTTGTACAACTTCCATGTATAAAATTCGATTCGATTGTGTTTTAATTTACCCACCCCATGGGTTAAGGGTTCAGTATACAGGGTGTATAAAAAGTGACCCTTTAGAAATAACTTCTGTTGTAAACTCTCAAATTTCATTACCTCTGGGAGTTTAGAATGCATAAGCTGTACATGAAAGTTAGTCCCGTCAGAAATTAATTAGTCCCGTCAGATCGATTAACAATGGCTCAACTGACCGCAGAGCAAGGAATTTTTAATTAAATTCCCAGGTGTATAATAACGCGCTTTTAACAACAAAAGGGTGATCTTAAAGGCCATTTTTATACGCACCCTAGCTGTAGGACTCAGGCATTCAAATTATAACATAACCTGAGTATCAGGCCCTCGGTATTGAAAAAGGGCCTGACACAATTCGCCTCTAAAGCCATGTTCAACATCCTGAATCTGGATATGCTGATTGGCTAAGAGACGATAAAACGCATCATGTGATTCAAACCGGAAATATATGACCGGCGTATGTAAACACCAAAAATAGAATTGGTAATTTTGTCAATATACTGTTAAAAGTGCTTTATTTCTAAAATTTATTTTCAATTAATTAAGCCTAAAAATGACAAAATAAGTACGAAAAGACGTTGAAAACGCTTTTGCAGCAACATTTTACTCGGTATAAAACTAAAACTACATAGTCATAGTAGAAAGCGTGTCTAAATATCTCGCCGTAATAGTCGCCGTAGAACGAAAATCTGTGGATGTCGGAAATTTTCAAATATTTAGTTCCAAAAAGCTGAAGCCTTATGTATCAGTTTATGGCCGAGCTGTTTTCCAAGACCTGCATGCGCAAGGATATAGTAGTCAGCCGCTGGGTCAGACGCAGTTGAAGAGAATAGCTATCTCGAATAAACTATTAACATGACACGAGAACCGAGGAAGAAGAAATCCTAATCAGAGCGCCGAATGTTGTCTCTTCAGACTCCTGGAAAAAGCCATCGAGCTATGGTTCCCCGAAAGAGGCATAGTTTACGCTTAGAATTCCATCATGTGGATATTTCGACAAAAACATACCGATTTTTCTCCATATTTATTCAAATTTATACAAAACTGCAAATAACGAAATTTGCGTATTTACATACCTGTAGCGGACAACCGGAAATATGCTACAACCGAAAATAATTTTAATTGGCTGATATTCTGGGGGTGGAAAGCCCGTAGAGGCGAATTGTGTCAGGCTCTCTTCAATACCGAGGGCCTGATACTCAGGTTAATTATAACAATAAGGTAAACTTCACAATTGAGACACCCTGTATATATTACAGTGAAAATACCAAGTGTCCCACTTCCGCTTCCGCAGTCTGTTGTGATTTACTGTAACTTTTTCTCTTTTTCGTAGCGATTATCGACTCATCGTCAAGTACCGCGATAAAATTTAAATTTTTTAAGTTTTATGCAATGAAACTAACGAAAAATGTATTGTTTTCCTTTACTACAAATGATCATATTTAAAAAAAGAGAAAAATAAGTTTTATACAGAAGAACAGATAAAATTGCAGTGAATCACAAGAAACTATATACGGAAGCAAAAATTGTATTTCCGGTGTAAAGAAACGTCGTATAGCCGATCAGTGATATATCAAAAACTGTCATTAGATCTTAAAGATGTCAACAGATCATATTTTGCTTGTAATATTACTCTGAATGTATATCCGTACCGGGCAGGCTTGAAAAATATGCCTGGCCACGGTGGGAATCGAACCTACGACCTTTGGGATACTAGCCCAATGCTCTGCCAACTGAGTTACGCGGTCAGGACGGTTCGAGTATGTGATATTTCGAAACTGAATCTAGTTTCTTCGACATCAGTGTAATTTAATAATCTTATTCACTTGAGTACACAATACCAACACAGCAAATCATATTTTGTCAAGATATGCATGGTGTATGGAAGCCCGTCAAACTTCAAGCCACAGTGACACAATAGAAGACCTTTTTTATGTTGATTGCACATATTTGATGTTTATTATTATATATTATTCATTGAGGTTGCACGTTTCATCTCAGCTATATCCCTATATTGGACGATCACTTAATTATCCGAAAACACAACGATGAGCTTAATCACCGTGACCGTGCACAAATTAATAAACTCAAAGACAAAAACATGTATCACAATTAGCAATAACACATTAACTTCTGTTCAGTTTCCAGATCTCCATGCATGCGTATATCCAGTTGATAGACTGTGAAAAAATCAAACGGTCACTTTAGTAGTCACTACTATACTTCTGGAATAAAAGGTCCTAGTTGACTTGTCTCTAGAACATGCGTTGAATTCGAGAGATTCCGGCGCAATTCGAATAGACAGGTGTACTAAGGCCGGATAGCGCTATCCACCGGATAGTGATTGTGATAAACTGTGAGACTTGAATAGGGTTTCGATCATAGAGATTATAAATAACACTAGAGGAGGCATCGAGTTTAAAAATTGGGAACGCAGCTAATGGGGGGCAAATTCAAGTCCCGGATATAAAATCGTGCTCTCATTGGCTGATTTGAAACTCGTCACCAATGGGAACACGAATACACATCCGGGACTTGAATTTGCCCCCCAATAGTCGCGTTCCCTTTTTTTTACTGAATTAAGATTACAATGCCTCCTCTAGTGTTATTTATAATCTCTATGGTTTCGATAGCATTTGTTGCGTTTACTTTGAGTCTTTGAGCGTGATCGCAGGCTGTTAAGCCTGCATGATCGGCTATATATACGGGGATTTTAACACAAAAAACAAAAGGTTTATATTATTCGATTGAACACGTATATTTAACAGTTATTCTACGGACTTCAGTCGAATATGAGCTGAAAGCCTATCGCTCATATTCGACGAGAGTGAGCATGGAATAACTGTTTTATTATTTCCCAAGTCTGAATTCACAGACTTTGCTTTTCGAATATTTTCAATATTTTTCTCTTTTGTTTATGCTTTTATCTTCGTTCTTTCGGCCGATTATTTTTTCAAAAATATATATTTTTAACCATTTTAAATATAAAATATTTATTTGCTAACCTGAAAACAATTTGTGGGAGCTTTTTCATTGTGATTTTAATCCTGCGAAGGCTATAAAAAGCAACAACTTGCCGTTTTCTCGTTTGCAAAACATCGTAAATTCAGTTTGGACGCCATTTTGTTTTTCTCTACCAGCAGGATATGAGCTAATATCCTGCTAGTAGAGAACCAATTAGATTGCAGAATACCTCATATCCAGACCTTGTGTATATAATAATTTCGATTACTCCAGGATATTTCGCTTCGAAATTAAAGTTAGCTATATTTTAAGTCTTTACATTATTATTTGATGTTAAAGGTTTATTAAAGGTCATGTTATCCGTGTGTTAAACGAACGTTAAGTATTAAGGTAGGAAATTCGACATATATTTTGCGACGTGCATAAGCCATAACATGCAGTGATGATTCATCTAAATCAGCGTTTTTCAACCGTGGAAAAATGCTTGAAAAGATTTAATTAAAACTACGCATATAAACTGCACAATTACTGAAGAGAAACATTAATTTATAAATACTAAAGTGGAACATGGGTTACACAAAGCAACGCACATTTTAAAATGCTTGGAAAATCACTATCCAGTGACTAGCGCTGTCCTGCCTCAAGGCACCTGATAGTGATTTTTAAAAATATTTTTAAAATTGCCCCGAAATGCTGTAAAACTACAGATGTGCGAAATAGTCTACTAAGATCATTAATCTGCATGGGTGAAAATATCATTATCCGGTGGATAGCCCTATATATCCGCCCTATATATAGTATATCCTAAGAATATCACCTCCAGGTGGCTAATACCCGAGAAATATCGCCCCCCCCCCTTAGGAAATCCCCCCCATGTAAATTCATACAAGTTGAAAAGACCGTTGAAAATGTGACAACATCGACACGCTAAGGCGAAGGTAACCAAATTCAAATAGTTTGGCAACTGTGTCATGTTAATAATAGATAGATTTAGATCGAGGACGTGAACGTCAAAGACGACGTGCAGAACAATTTCATAACGCGTCGCGGCGGGCGCTTGAAAGTACTGTCATGGCTTATCCACAGTGAAAATCTACGTTCTGACAAAATGAAAGAAAAATAATGTTTGAAATTGGGTAGAATTACAAAATCAAGAGTAAAATTTAGATACAATAATAAATTGTTTGCAAGCAGTGTCAAAACACCGATCCTGGTATAACTGGCGCCTGCTGCATGGCGTTACTGAACTCACGTTATACTGACTACAACATGTATTGGTGTCGCTCTTGGTCACAATTTAGTTTTCCCTTCTGCGGTGAAAGAGACTATAGAATATGCAATGCGAGGAATCTGGAAGCCATGAAACTATTATGGTATATATATACAACATCATTCTTAAAAATCTATAGGTAATTCTGACATCTGGGGTTGGCAAATCATTGTAGCTGACGTGGGTCCATTTCCGGGTTCTCATGGGTGCATACAAGTGAACAGAAAGGTATGTGTAGGTGGTTTAAATATACTTTGAAGCATGGTTTACAGTTTGCAAATAATGAATGTTTATGAGTGCAATGATAAAATTATTGTTTCAATTGAAATTTGTGATGAATGTGGGTTGCACAGTTGGGGATCGACTAGCAATGCCACGGATTTTCACAGACTGTATTACTGAACCGTAGAGTGGTGCATGTGGTTGTATTTCTAGGTTTTTTAGTTGTATTGTTGGTACATGTGCTACGTGCAATAATTTTAGCTTTTGTGAAGCCAAATACCATAGGTGATGATGACTTCTTATCCAATCTTTTTACTATCCATATTTTTATTACTTAGGGTGTACATTGTCAATAGTTGATTGCATGCAAATAGAATCATAGCCCCTAAATACTACAGAAAACTATCCTTTCTATTAAATATAGTACCTAACATCACTCAATTAAAACTCACAGTATCTCTTAAACCTTTTTGCTACTTCTCTGTACATAGTTTATTTGGGAATCTGATAATGGAGAACTTTACGTGAACTACACATTCAAAGAAATTCAGTTGGGAGCCAAGTTGAAAATACAAATTCAAAGTCTTCCTGCTGTGGCTAGGAATAAAGGTGTAATGAAGGAAATTTCAACAAAATTAGGTAACGAGCATATTAGAAGGGAGAAAGAGTTTGGTTGAGTTAAGAAAAATAGAGTGGCGTGCTTAATTATATATATATATATATATATATATATATATATATATATATATATATATATATATATATCGGGATCGACTTTTCGCATGTATTAGCTCTAGAATTACTACGCAGTTATCCAAGTATTAAGAGAGTACAATCAAATAAACGATAACTGATTTAATGAGCCATTCGATATTCACAAATATATCTTGAAAAATGCATCGGATTCAGTTTAACTATTCGCTAAAGAATATCGTATTACCATGGAAAGATCAGTATTGAAGGCGTCTCATCGAAAAAGTTGAAAGCGTTGTTCAACGAATGAGGTAGCCTGCGTAACAGGCGTTTAGCTGACGGGCGGGTACAGAGGGAACGCCTGCCCAAATTGGCTATGACAATTTGTTTTCGCCCATTAAGGATGATTGACGTTTTGTAATTAGCACATTCACCCATTATCCAATCATAGTCGTGATTTATATTTAGCATCATGCATGCTTTTTGCTCGGCAACTACGGAGATTTGCAGAGATTTTATGCACTATTTAAAACACGAGCAGCAGTGTTTTATCAGATATAAAGATGGTCTGAAAAAACACGCATTGCGAATGTTTTAAATTGCTTCAAAAACGATCGATCTAGTATACGTTCATTTGCGAAGTAGCTTTCAAAAAATTCGGTGTGTATATGTAGAGAAAATCATTAAAATTTATGTAAATCAAGGGAAATCTCTATCACATATCAAGGATACGACACGTTTATGATTTTTCTTTGTGTTTTCCTCATGAATTATTAATGACTTTTGAAGCTATTTTAGATAACAGTCAGTCACAACATGCACAGAGCTTTTATCTTTAAAAAGACTCCTGACCACGGTTGTTTAACGTATTCTGCCGCATAGCAAATATAACAGTTGAGCATGTTTTGAAATGTTATTCTTAAAATCGTCATTCAACCTCATAGCTGCATGCAATGCCAAGTGATATAGCCGCAACTATCTGGTTTTGAATTATATAGTTTAAAGTGAACAAATAACCATAGGTCTCCAGAAAAGGTCTTAAAAAATCCATACAATTTGCTTTAATTAAAATACAATGCTTTGACATGCAATGCTTCAATGTACAGTAAAACCTCTATAATTTGTATTACATGAAGTACGTGCAACATCACAATAGCGTAGTGTCATTATGTAATATATATCCCCAAGGTTGGCAAGTAAATACAAATTTAAAACTGTATACACAAACTTAATGACAAAAAAACTTGTACATAAACATCGAAATTCACTTAAAAAACTAACTCACTATGGTAAGAAATAACTGTAATTCTTCTATATTGTGTTTTTTTCTTCTCTCATCACTTTTAAACGAGGTAATTTTGCGAAAATTCCGAGGAAAATGGCTCAATTTGGTCAAAACTATGCGGGATGACTGCTCCCGGCGTTACGTCACAAAATAAAGCTCTCTGATTTGCTGAAAATGTTTAACATTTCAAAAAAACTCTCCGATTGGCTGGCTGAAATTTCCCAGAGAATCAGAGAGCTTTATTTTGTGACGTAACGCCGGGAGCCATCATCCCGCATAGTTTTGATCAAATTCAGTTACGAATTTGATGAATTTTCCTCGGAATTTTCGCAAAATTAACTCGTTTAAAAGTGAAAAAAACACAATATAGAAGTATTACAGTTATTTCTTACCATAGTTTTAATGAATTTCGATGTTTATGTACGAGTTTTTCGTCATTAAGTTTGTGTATACAGTTTTAAATTTGTATTTACTTGCCAACCTTGGGGATATATATTACATAATGACGCAACGCTATTGTGATGTTACACGTACTTCATGTAATACAAAATATAGAGGTTTTACTGTACATTGAAGCATTGCATGTCAAAGCATTGCATTTTAAAGCAAATTGTATGGATTTTTTTTAATAAAAGACCTTTTCGGGATACCTATGAAATAACAAGACAACTATATTAACGAAATATGCAGGATATATTTAAAATGTACAATTGAAAGTCAAACTTTTCCGTATTCCTAGGAAGAATCGCGATAACCGGCGTCTTCACCACGTAGCAAATTAATAATATACTTTCTCTGTTCTGGTTCAACTGAATTTCGAAGCCTAAATACTTGAAATATAAGAAAGTTTCCTCGAAAGCAATAACAGGCGGCATATTTTTGATATGCGACTATAAACGCGTCAAATCAAAATTTATTGTTGACATTTGAGTTACGTAATTACTTCCGTTAACGAGATTAACCAATGGGAAGCTTTTCCGAAGATTCTTCGGAGAAGAACAAATTAATCATAGGCATTTGCATGGGCAGGCGTTTATTTAACGACGCCCTTTCTTCTCCCGCCCACACTAAACGCCTGCTACGCAGGCTACGAATGAGGTGGAAAGCGCATTTCTTTTTGAACGAAAACAAACCTACAATATCAGAGAACAAGTTTGATTTGCCATCAAGAAATTACGCTACGCCAATAAGTGAAATGAAAGCATTTGAAGAAGATCTGGTTAAGTTAACATCAAACATTACGTTCAGAAGGGTAAACAATTCTTTTTAAATAAAATCCATGAAGATCTTAAAAAAGTAAATTTATCAAAAAAGTTTTTGTTTACGCTGATAAATCAACCAATGTTTATGAAACCTCTCCTGGTAATTACAACAAACTACTTATGGAAAACATCACAAAAACGTACAAACTCGGAAACGAAAATGTAACAGCTACTTATGGAAAACATCACAAAAACGTACAAACTCCGAAACGAAAATGTTACAGATGATATTAATGATGAACGGAGAAATATAGCTAGCAATCTCTCCATTGGTAACCGGGTAGACACGATGGCTAAACGAAGCGCATAGGCTACATAACGTTAAAAATCACAAAGAAAACTTTGAATCAAACCTGAAATTCCGTCTTATTAATCCTGCCAAGAGCGAACTTGCAAAAGTCAGCAAAATTATCTTGGACTTCATAAATGCTATAGAATAAACACTACAATAAAAGTTAACCGGTGGCAAAATTCTCATTCCGTTATTGACTGGTATCAGTCTGTGAAAAACAAATCAAACTACATGTTTCTTTCATTCGACATCGTTGAATTTTACCCTTCAGTAACAGAAGATCGTCTGGACAAAGTCATTGCCTGGGCCAAGACCATCATATCCATTCCCGATAATCACATATCTATCATCAAACATGCCCGAAAGTCCTTGCTTTCAAACAAGAAACACCATGGGTTAAGCGAAACAACGATACTGACAATGTTTGATGTCACGATGGGCAGCTTTGATGGCGCGGAAATATGCAATCTGGTCTGTCTCTTCATCTTAAATAAGCTGGCAGCCAAAATTGGAAATGAATTTGTTGGATTGTATCGGGATGACGGTTTAGCTCTGCTAAAGGGCAGAAGCGCAAGAGCGGGTGACAAAGCAAGATAGGAGTTACATTCTTTATTTAATGATCTCGAGTTGAAAATAACTGCGGATGTCAACCACCATATTGTCAACTTCTTAGACGTAACGTTAGACCTGAAAAGTGGGACATTTTCACCTTATAGAAAGCCGAACAGCAAACCACTTTACTTCAACAGTTGCTCTAATCACCCACCTTCCATAATCAATCATATCCCTACATCCATTAACAAACGTATCTCCTCGCTATCTGCTGACCAATCAACTTTTAATTCTGCTGCACCTCCCTACCAGAATGCGCTCAAACATAGCAATTATGATGTCACGTTGCCATATTCGACCGGTAATAATTCCACAAGCTCATCGTCTAGAAGACGCCGTAGGAACATCATCTGGTTCAACCCTCCATTCAGCAAAACAGTCAGAACAAATGTTGCTCAAACTTTCCTTCAACTCATCGACAAGCACTTTCCACCCAAAAACCCACTCCGCAAGATCTTTAACAGGAACAATATCAAAGTCAGTTACTCGTGCATGGACAATGTAAAGAGCAACATAACACGCCACAACCACCGCCTCCTAACAAAAACATCTACAGTCCCTAAACCCAAAGAATGTGATTGCAGGAAATCTAACGTGTGTCCACTGAATGAAAAATGTTTGACCAGCAACGTAGTTTATAAGGCAGAAATAACAACGCCCCATGATGGCAAATTAAAGAATACATTGGAATGACTTCCACGGAGTTCAAAGTCAGATGCAGAAATCACAAAAAGTCGTTTAATAAGCCTACGTACTCGTCTGACACAGATCTTTCCAAATACGTATGGAATTTAAAGGGTAAGAAAAGGGAATACAGTATTACTGTAAGTGGTCCATTTTGAAACGAGCAGCAGCGTATGTACCTGGCGGTAGGCGTTGTAATTTGTGCATAGAAGAGAATTTAGAAATCATGAAGTCAGATAAAACCAATCTATTTATTTATTTAGCTTTGCCAACTAGTGCAGGGTCACCACAACAGCATATGCCAATTACTGTGGGCCCTTTTTACCTAAACCACCCTGTCAACTTTCCCTGTGGGAGGAAACCGGAGTACCCGGGGAAAACCCACGGCTTTCGGCAGAGCGTTGACTTTTACTCTTTTCACATGGGGACTGGGTTCGAGTCGCACTGAGAAGGTACTTAGTGAGACTCGAACCTGCAGCCTCAGAGGTGAAAGGCAAGTGCGCTAACCACTTGGCCACCGAAGCCCCAATCTGTTGAAGAAAAGATCCGAGTTCTTCGCGAAATGTCGCCATCGAGAAAATTCAGCTCCGGGAAATCCGAACGCGCTCGAACAAACAAGTCAACGCGTCAGCGAACGGTTGATGACGCAATCACGTAAGAACAAAATCGTGAACAAAATCGCCTGATGATCGTCTAGAAAGGACGAGAAACTCAGTTTAGGCCCACAAATCACCACAAAAATTCGATTCACTGACAAAAACTGTTGCAGAAAATTAATACTTTAATTTCCTCTATTGCCACATATTTTACAATGTAAACTATTAATATCGATTATTTCAGTGCAAAACA